AACACATTTTGTCTTCAATTATTTTCATATTGCATATTTTTCCTATTTTTATTTTTGTTTTGAAAGTATGGTAAAAACTGGTCAAATGTACCAACAATCACATTTAAAAAATATACACTTTTTGATATACCATTAAAAAAAAAAAACAGGTAGCCCATCTGAATTAGAACATTTAGGCTATCCATCTATTAGTAGCCTACCAAAATCTTATTAACAGTAGAAGTTAAATCTTACTGTAGTCTTCAAATCTGGGTACTGTCTTATGTTTTAAAATCACAAAGGGAGTTTGGTCCCGTCAGGCTAACGTGACAGTCACGACTCGTGCAGCTGTAAGGTTTTCTTTTTCTTTTGTTTTTACTCGCGATCTTTACAACACGCATTACATTACGTATTTCATGGCACACTCGTTTTATGCGTATTTGGCGCCACCTAGTGTTGTGGGTGTATTATTGACATGTCAAAGTCTAGACCCTGAATATAAGACGACCGCGTTTTTTCGGATGTATTTCCAAGAAAAAAACATCGTCTTATATCCGGGTCAATACGGTATGATTAACTGCATTGTGTTACTGAGGGAGAATAACTTATGACTGTTGAACAATATTTTCAGCGTTTGTCGTGTTCTTTCATGACTTTATCAGCCATACAGACTGATTAAACCTACCTCCTAGTCTCAACAAAAAATAACTATTCTTCTAAAGCAGTCGACCTATCGGTAAGCCCCTCCCCTCGAATGCAGATGAGCCAATGGCAGTCGAGTATCAGTTGCACGGGGAGTGGAACTCAAACATCTTTAGGTTTCAGCACCATAGAGACACATTGGAAGATCCGAAGCTCGCATCGGTTTGATGGTGTTGTGCCTGTGGTACTTGTAACACTGATTCCAGGTATCCTGAGAGGATAGGCAATATAATTTATTTTATTACATTTCCTGAATCCAAACAAAACAGAGCAAAATGTCCCTAAGCATTCAACCCCAAATCCAAATGAAGACAAAAACATTTTCTGGTTGTCATACACTCATTAAGTTTCAATTTTCATCTGCTCATCTCTGGCTAAAACTAGCTAACGTTAAAGTTAGTGAGTCCATGCTAATGTACAAACTTAAATAGTACAAACCTGTTCTCGCGTCTTGTACAGTGTAGGTCAAAAACACATAAACGAAGGTCTACATTTCACTGTCTCTTCATAGTAAACTGGTTAAATGTACATTAATTTAATCGTACCCTGCGATACATGAGCAGTGCTGATCCTGCATGTTGTCATCCGCGATCGTGATGACCAAACGTAATATGAGACTTCTCCCGCTTGCATTGTGATATGTAAACCCTCGCTTCGAGTTACTCACCGTATTTATTTTTAAATATTTTATAAATCCCTCCATGGAATATTTAATTCCCATTTGGTGGCCTTCTATGTCCAAAATTGTGCAAAAACATTGTGGGACAAGGTTTTCACACTGCAGCTGTCATTGTAAGACAGTGAGCAACTCCGTTTGTTTGTCCGAGGGAGCAACAGTAACTAAGGGGGGCGGGGCTTACCGATAGGTCAATTGGGTTTAGTAATCTTTTGTTGTAATGATAATTTGTTCCTCTGACCAACATTCTCACTGGCATACTCCCATTCTCACATATTTACATTTACATTTATTCATTTAGCAGACGCATTTATCCAAAGCGACTTACAGTTGGGGAATAATACACCAAGCGATTCATCTTAAAGAGGCAAATAGACACAGGAAGTGCTTGTAATACCAAGTTACAAGGCGTCGACTAGTGGATCTCAGACTTCTGGTGGGAATGTAGATTCGTAAAAGTGAGTGGAAGTAGGAGGGTGCTGAGCCTGTGGCTGTTCTATATGCAAGCGTCAGTGACTTGAACTTGATGCGAGCCATAACCGGCAGCCAGTGCAGGGAGATGAAGAGAGGTGTGACATGGGCTCTTTTGGGCTCGTTGAAGACCAGTCATGCCGCTGCATTCTGAATCATTTGAAAAGTTTGATTGTGCATGAGGCAAGTCCTGCTAGGAGAGCATTGCAGTAGTCCAGTCTAGAGATGACAAGGGCCTGGACAAGAAGTTGTGCAGCATGCTCCGGTGTGCTTTGGATACCTCCCCAAGCCACCCTGAAAGACCTACCAGTGAGATAGGAGTCAAACCAGCTAAGTGGAATCCCTGTGATGCCCAGTGATGAAAGTGTGGACAGGAGGATCTGATGATTCAGTGTCAAAAGCGGCAGATAAATTCAGCAGAATAAGAACTGATGATTTGGAATCAGATTTTGCAATTCGCAAGGCTTCAATGACTGACAGTAGGGCAGTCTCAGTTGAATGGCCACTCCTGAAACCTGACTGGTTAGCGTCCAGTTTGCTGTTCTGTGAAAGAAACCATGATACCTGGTTGAAAACAACTCTTTCGAGGGTTTTCACTATGAATGGAAGGAGAGAGACAGGTCTGACTGGTAAGCGTGTAGGAGAGATTGCTTGGAGGAGGTGCGAGGGGATTGGATCTAGAGGGCATGTTGTAGGATGGCTGGAGAGGAGAAGTTTGGATACTTCTGTCTCAGTGAGGGGACAGAAGGAGAAGACGGGAGTTTTAGCAGTAGATGTGGTTGGTTTGAGGTCCTGTGTGTGTGGAGCGGAGAACTGACTACTGATTGTTCTGGTTTTGTCTGTGAAGAATGTGGCGAAATGATCAGCTGTTATAGAAGTGGTGGGAGATGGTGGAGAGGGACAGAGGAGAGAATTTAATGTTTTGAAGAGGTTACGTGTGTCTGGAGCGCTTTTGATCTTGTGGAAATATGAAGATTTGGCAGTATGGACTTGGGCAGAAAAAGATGAAAGCAAGGACTGATACATACTCAGGTCAGACAGATCTTAACTCAGCTGTTAATGGACTAAGTCCAAACATGATGGAAAAAGATTGAACTGTCATGCATGCATTCATTAATGTGTTCGTAGCGTTGCCAAATGTATTCCGGTTGTGGTTTGGTAAGTGAATAATGCATTGGTAAAGCTTTAGTTACACTTTTCTAAATGTGTGTTTGGACTATGCAAATAAGTTCCACAGGAGGAAAGAATGGTGGGCCACACCGTGTCCCCCCACTCTGATGGAAACAGCCAATCACAGCCTGGAAATGGAGAAGCGCCAGATTGCAATCTCCTCCTCATCGGAAAGAGATAAAGGTACCTTCCCAAAAGACACTCTTTGTTCGGAGTCTCCGGCCTGCAAGGATGAGACACTAACAGATAAACCAGTTCTGAGTCTGAGTCCTGTCAAGGAAAGGACTGCAACAGATCACCAACGTTCTGAACTCTTGTCCGTGAGGGAAGAGGCAATAATAGATACCAAGTCCTGAGTCTCCAGCTCCAAGTCGGAAAGCTCTGATAATACAAATCTCTTTACTCTGATGGCAGCAGGTAACCTACTGTTACCTAGCTACATTAAACGTGCGTTAATTAAAATGCATAAAGCTAAACTTCCCTTGTAATAACTTGCAATGAGAAGCGTTTCTAAACCTGTTGTCCAACAAAAGAGAACATTATGATTTTTATGTTACATGTTTTTACTCCACAACATCAGCCAATTAACATGCTTACGTGATCTGATGTGGTTTCTTGTCACAGAATGAGGCAGAAAATGTATTCTATACTGTAATAAAGGCTATGTCAATTAGTAATGGATTATAAATATACTTAATCATGAACATATCCAAGATGGCTTGAAGAACACACATTATCCACATATCATTTTAAAAGTATCGATTTGGCACCGGTATCGTAAAAAACCCTAAAGGTACCCAACCCTATCCAAGAGTAGCCATAATTAAGTCTAGACCAGGGGTGGGGGATGTTGATCCTGGAGGGCCACTGTCCTGCAGGGTTCAACTCCAACCCTGAAAAAATACCTACCTGTATCCTGAAGACCTTGATTAGCTTGTTTAGGTGTGTTTGATTAGGGTTGGAACTAAACTCTGCAGGACAGCGACCCTCCAGGATCAACATCCCCCACCCCTGGTCTAGACTAAATCATCTAAACCAACAACATGTATGTTAGACCCTAATCCATCTAAGCTCCTAAAAGAGGTGCTTCCAGAAGTCATAGATCCTCTTCTGACTATTATTAATTCATCATTGTCATTAGGATATGTCCCCAAAACCTTCAAACTGGCTGTTATTAAGCCTCTCATCAAAAAACCACAACTTGACCCCAAAGAACTAGCTAATTACAGACCGATCTCGAATCTCCCTATTCTGTCCAAGATACTAGAAAAGGTAGTATCCTCACAATTATACTCCTTCTTAGAGAAAAATGGTATCTGTGAGGATTTCCAGTCAGGATTTAGACCGTATCATAGTACCGAGACTGCTCTCATTAGAGTTACAAATGACCTGCTCTTATCATCTGATCGTGGTTGTATCCTTCTAGTAGTGCTACTGGATCTTAGCGCTGCGTTCGACACTATTGACCACAACATTCTCTTGCATAGACTAGAAAACTTTGTTGGCATTAATGGAAGTGCATTAGCATGGTTCAAATCGTACTTATCAGACCGCCATCAATTCGTAGCAGTGAATGAAGAGGTATCTTTTGCATTATTGACACACGGTTTTCCTAATTAATGCTGTTCAGTTGCTTTGACACAATCTGTATTGTTAAAAGCGCTATATAAATAAAGGTGACTTGACTTGACTGGAAACAAGTTTACATGGGCATTCTCTCACTAAACATGCATCAAATAATTCAGTGCAATGTTCAATACTTCATGCAGTTCACCATTTTATTTATAACCTTGTAGTTACATTGTGGCATTTCGCAGTAAGACCGAAAGGTAATATTTTGATTCCAAGTTACCAGTAAACGGAACGGCACAATGTCTCTATACAATCGAAATTAGTGTCTACTGCAATATTTGAAACTATAGCAAAGGAGACAGTCAGGAGTGAACAACACAAATAAAAGACATGGCTATGAAGGTGCCATAATCAATTACAGCACACATTCAGCTGTGGTGTGAGCGCAGTCTTAATTTCAAAGAGATACCTATTTTTTGGTGCCATTTTAAATTGCAGGGCCACTTCTCAGGCCTATCAGGTTTAATGTCAAAAGAAATGCATTACATTGATCACAGTTAATGGGCCTTCGTCCAGAGTGAATATGCTGGTGATTTTTAAAATTTGCTTCTTGTCACACTTTATTTCCAGAATTTTCTTGAATGATGTTTCAGGAACACACAGAAACACGTGAAAGGTCTCTCTCCAGTGTGAGTCTTCAGGTTTCATTTGACTGAGAAACACTTCGTACAAAATAGTTCTCCCCTGAATGAAATCTCATGTGGGTTTCTTCACATGATTCCACGCATATTTCATGATAATCTTAAGATTTTCTATTTGTGAGAAGCTCTTCCCACAGGCTTCTCTCGAGTGTGTTGTTTTTTAATGTGAATATTGAGGCTACATTTATGACTGAAACTCTTTCCACACTGAGCACATTTACAGCATTCCTCTGCCGAACGAGTCTTCATGTGGTAATTAAGTCTTACCATACATATGAAACGCTTTCCACACTGAGCACATTTACAGCATTTCTCTGCTGAATGAGTCTTCATGTGGTAATTAAGTCTTACCTTACATATGAAACGCTTTCCACACTGATCACATTTGAAGGGTTTCTTTCCAGTGTGAATCATCTTGTGACACTTGAGGCTAAATTCTGTTGCGAGGCTCTTTCCGCAACGATCACATTTGAACACATTCTGTCCAGTGTGGATTCTCATGTGGTAATTACGGGTGCATGCATGTGTGAAACTCTCCCCACAATACTTGCAAGTGTAAGGCTTTTCTTGAGTGTGAACTCTCATGTGGATTTTAAGGTTTTGTTTTGCAGGGAAACTCTTTCCACACTGTTTGCATGTATAAGGTTTCGCTCTAGTGTGAATGCTCATGTGGGAATGAAGGCTGCTTTTCTGTGTAAAACTCTTTCCACACTGACGGCAAGTGTAAGGCTTCTCTCCCGAGTGAGTTCTCATGTGTATTTGAAGGTGTGGTTTTTGAGCGAAACTCTTTCCACACTGCTGGCAGGTGAATGGCTTCTCTCCCGAGTGAGTTCTCATGTGATTGTTAAGAGATCCTTTTTGAGTGAAACGGTTTCCACACTGTTGGCAGGTGTAAGGCTTCTCTCCCGAGTGAGTTCTCATGTGCCTTTTAAAGGCTCCTTGGTGAGCAAAGCTCTTTCCACACTGTTGGCAGGAGAATGGTCTCTCTCCAGTGTGAACTCTCACGTGCATTTGAAGTCTTCGTTTTTCATCGAAACTCCTTCCACAATGATGGCAGGTGAAAGAGCGGTTAGATTTGGTTTTCTGAGCTCTTTTTCGTATAGAAGCCGTTTTAGACTGTGTGGCATTTTCACCAGTTATGAAATCATGGTGTTTCTCATACTGATCTGTCTGTTCCATTTCATTCGGATCTTGATTCTCCTCTTTCAGCACCAGCAGGTCTAAAGCAAAAAAAGACAAATACAAGTTAACCACAGTTTGAAGCCACAAAGCAAAAGATGTGAAAAGCAACATTAAAGCTTTTAAAGCCGGGACACATCAAGCCGACTTCAAAGAACTATCAGTGTTGAAAGCCGACTGTGTTGTTGATCTGAACCAAAAAGCTGCGCTTGAACACACCGCTGCAAACTAGTGCTGCCTTCACGTGCTATCAGAATTATCATAAATACGAGTTTCCTAATCGGAAATTGGACGTGAACGGCCTCTCAAGTCGTATTTACTACTGGGAAATTCTGAAATAATTTTGATACCAGAAGTTTTCCGAGTTGAGCGGGTCATACTCTTTAAACGTGGTGGAGGGGACAACAATTGCTTGGCACTTTCTTTAGGACACACCTAAGTTAGTTAGCAAACCCCTTATAACTAGGGCTGGGTATCGAATTCAATACTTTTTAGGCAACGACCGCATTGCCTCCACACCATAGAGTATTGAAAAATGTCTTGTCATTAGGTACTAAATTTTGATACCTAAGGGGTTAAGCAAAAAAAGCATTAGGTGTGTTTGACCTGACACGGAGGTAAGCAGGATGATCGGCGTTTGACATCAATGTACCACGAGAGTGATTCGAAAGCTTGCTGTCATACACCGATTGGTCCGCGCATCTACTAGTTTACGCCGATTCCCAGAGACGGCTAACACGTGAGGCTCTAGTGTGTGAGCATCTGACCCCCATAGATGTAGGCTACATTTACACTAGTGCATTTTCATTTTAAAATGGCATTTTTAAATGCAAACTATCCTTGTCCATACTGGCATTTCCGCTGCGCTTCAAAAAAGATCTCTGTCTACGACACACGAGCGAAAACCACCATCTAGTGTTTGTAATAACTTCAGACTGCGCTCTAATATGTGTTTTGGCCATATAATGTTGCTGAAATATGTTATTTGTAGCCTTTTATGTCAAGCTAATCGTTACATCTGCTTAGCATTTCTCACATAAACACTCTGTATTGTTAAGAAAATAGGCAGAATCTCATACAAATCACATAAATATAATTTACCGTCATGCGAAAATGCAATAGTGTAAATGTAGCCAAAAAGATCTGAAAACTACTTGAACCAATGCATTAACCAACAAAATGGACAAAGTACGGCTGTGGCAATGGACCCGAAGGGATTGTTGTGCGCTGATTTTCATGGAAATGTAGCTGAGTGCGGAAATCCCCGATAAAGCCAGGGAGCTAACTAGCTGCACGCTATACTGAGCAGACCGCACTCAAGACTCCAGTAAGAGAAGGGTAGGGGGTCTTTGTGTTTATATCAACAAAGACTAGTGTACCAACCACACTGCAGCCGAGAGCTACTGTTCAACTGGATCTAGAGTATCTCATGCTGAGATGTAGACCGTTTTATATACCGCGGGTGTTCTCCGTTGTCTTTGTAGCAGTTTATATTCCACAACAAGCTATGTCAAACTAGCGCTAACACAGCTACACTCAGCTATCTACAAACGGCAGGATGCTCCCCCAGACGGAGCCTTCAACAAAGCTGATCTACGAACAGTGCTCCATAAATTATATCAGCATGTGAAATGTTCCACCAGATGTTCCAATATTTTGGACCACGTGTACACCAACATCGAGGACTCACACAGAGCCTTCCCCAGCCATCCTCTTGGTCAGTCTGATCACCTCTCACTGTTTCTGACCCTAGCATACAGACCTCTCATTCGCAAGTCAAGACCCATCATTCAAACTGTTAAGATTTGGCCAGAGGATGCCATAGCACAGCTTCAGGACTGTTTTGATCGCACTATCTGGGAGTTGTTCGCAGATGCAGCAACCCATGAAAATGTGCCAGACCTGGAGGAATACACAGCCACTGTACTCTTCTGCATTAACAGCCATGTAGGAAATGTTACGGTGGAGAAGACAATAAAGAGGTATGCTAATCAGAAACAATGGATGAACAAATAGGGAAAAACCTTCTGAGAACACGCAAAAATGCCTTTAAATGTGGTGACCCCAAAGCATACCATGTAGCTAAACACAATCTTAAGAAGGGCATAAAAAAAGCACAAGCCAGCTATAGACGACGTATTGAAGACCACTTCAGCAACTCTGACACCAGGAGTGTGTGGAAAGGAATAGAACAGAATTGGTAAGTGCAAGTATTAATTGGTCAGGTGATGGCGAAAAAGATGTCTTTAGATGTTTTTTGAAAATGGCTAAAGACGGCTCGGATTGAGATAGGCAGGTCGTTCCACCAGCTGGGGACAGTCCAGGAAAAGGTCAGTGAGAGTGATTTTGTGCACACTTTGGGATGGCACCATGAGGCATCGTTCATTTGCAGAACGCAAGCTTCTGGAGGGCGCGTAGGTCTGAACTAGCGAGTTTAGGTATATTGGTGCAGCACCAGTGGGTCTTGTAGGCACGCATCAGTACCTTGAATTTGATGCGAGCAGCTATTGGCAGCCAGTGCAAGCTGATGAAGAGAGGTGTGACATGACAAACCTGCAAGACCGGGCCGTTGTAGCAATATGGTCTGTGAAGCTTAACCAATCATCTATCACAACTCCAAGGTTCCTGGCTGTCCTGGAAGGAGTTATGGTTGACGAACCTATCTGTATAGAGAGGTTGTGATGAAGTGAAGGTTTGGCCGAGACCACGAGCAGTTCTGTCTTAGCAAGGTTGAGTTGAAAGTGATGAACATTCATCCAGCCAGAAATGTCTGTCAGACAGGCTGAAACGTGAACAGCTACTGTCGGATCATCTGGTTTGAATGAGAAGTAGAGTTGAGTGTCATCAGCATAGCAGTGATAGGAAAAGCCATGCTTCTGAATGACAGATCCTAAAGATGGCATGTAGATGAAGAAGAGAAGTGGTCCAAGCACTGAGCCTTGAGGAACCCCAGTAGCAAGAAATTGTGACTTAGAAACCTCACCCCTCCGTGTCACCCTGAAGGACCTACTGGAGAGGTAAGACTTAAAGGGGTCATATGATGCGATTTCATTTTTTCCTTTCTCTTTGGAGTGTTACAAGCTCTTGGTGCATAAAGAAGATCTGTAAAGTTGTAAAGACTAAAGTCTCAAATCCAAAAAGATATTCTTTATAAAAGTTAACACAAAATAATGTTCTTTTTAGCAGCATCATATGACCCCTTTAAACCACTGGAGTGCGGTTCCTGAAATGCCCATTTTCATGATGAGACAGGACGGGAGGATCTGGTGGTTAACAGTGTCAAAATCAGCAGACAGATCCAGCAAGATGAGTACTGAGGATTTGGAAGCCGCTCTTGCCAGTCTCAGGGCTTCAGTAACCGAGAGCAGTGCAGTATCGGTTGAGTGGCCGCTTTTGAAGCCAGATTGGTTGCCGTCCATGAGGTTGTTCTGTGCAAGAAACATAGAAAGTTGGTTGAACAAAACTCGCTCAAGTGTCTTTGCAATGAACGGAAGAAGGGATACCAGTCTGTAGTTTTCTAAAAGTGCTGGATTTAGAGAGGGTTTCTTAAGCAGTGGGGTTACCCGAGCCCGCTTGAATGCTGTGGGAAATGTACCAGAGTGAAGAGAGGTGTTGGTAATGTGAGTGAGCGGGGGTATAACTGAAGAAGAAATGGCCTGAAGGAGGTGAGTGGGGATAGGATAAAGCGTGCAGGTAGTAGGATGATTGGAAAGGATACGTTTAGAAACGTCTGCCTCCGAGAGTGGAGAGAAAGGAGGAGAGAGAATGAGTATTTGTGGTTATGAAGTTTATGTCAGTTTGTGGTGTGGAGAATTGGTCACTGATGGTTCTTGTTTTATTTATGAAGAATGTTGCAAAGTCATCAGCAATATGTGTTGATGAAGGAGGGGGTGGAGGAGGACAAAGAAGAGAAGAAAAGGTTTTGAAAAGCATGCGAGGGTCAGAACAGTTGTTAATTTTGTTGTGGTAGTATGTTGTTTTGGCAGTGGAGGCACTTGCAGAAAAGGAGGAGAGAAGTGACTGATATACACGAAGGTCAGTAGAGTTTTTTTAGTTGCTCCACTTCCTCTCTGCAGCCCTGAGTCTAGAGCGATGTTCCCGGAGAACATCAGACAGCCAGGGGGCAGGGGAGGTGGTGCGTGCTGGTCTGGATGAAAGGGGGCAAAAGTTGTCTAAGCAAGATGTTAAGAGTGGAGCAAAAAATGTCAGTAGCAGTGTTTGTGTCCAGTGCTGAAAACTGAGAGGGTGGAGGAAGTGAGGATGAAACCATAGAGGATAGGCGAGTGGGAGAGAGCGAGCGTAGGTTACGCCGAAAGGTGACCTGCGGAGGAGTGTGTGTTGTGTCCGGAGTCAGTGTGAGGGTAGGAGTGATGAGGAAGTGGTCTGAGGTGTGCAACGGTGTAACTAAAGTGAGCAGTTGTAGATGTAGCATGTGTAGATAAGGTCCAATTGGTTACCCGATTTGTGAGTAGCTGTAGTAGACACGCACTTGAGGTCAAATGAGGCAAGCAGAATGTTGAAGTCAGCAGCCTGTGGTTTATCTAGGTGGATGTTGAAGTCACCAAGTAGTACCAAAGGAGCACCGTCCTCAGGGAAGTTTGAGAGTAACACATCCAACTCATCTAAGAAGTTACCCAGTTGACCTGGGGGACGATAAATAACTACAAAATGGATTGTAACAGGGTGGGTAATAGTAATTGCGTGTGATTCAAATGAACTGTTATCCAATCGCGCGAGGGGTGTGGGAAAAGGTGAAATTAGTGTAGAGGGCTGCAGGAGTGGCAGTGTCCTCAGGTTTGATCCAAGTCTCAGTTAGGGCCATGAGGTTGAGACTTGAATGAGTAGCAATAGATGAAAGAAAGTCTGCTCTGTTTACAGCAGACTGGCAGTTCCAGAGACCAATTGGAATAGAGAGTAAAGTAGTAGAGGACATAGGGACAGTACGCAGATTATTAGGATTGCGCTGCCTCCAACATACAGTGCGTGATTTACGAGTGTTAGTAGCAATAGTAGAGAGTTGAAAGCACATATTGAGTACAAGTAGAAGTAGATGAGAACAAGTTATACAAAAAGTAAAGAAAGGGGAAAAATAAAACAATACTCCGGTGCCTTGTCGGTGTACTTCGCGCAGATAGAGTCGATGGTCTTTACACTTCACACGAGGGCTGCCGCGGTGTACTGAGCAAATATGTACTCGTGTGTGTGCGGGATGCGGGAGAATAAAATGATTCGCGGGACTCCCGCAAGATAGAAATTATCTAAACATAAAGTGTCTAAAACATATAAATTGTTATTTATCTGTTGCACAAAAGCAGAAAGAACAACTAATATTAACAATAAAATTATTGACATGCGCAAGCTAGGCATA